GTTGACTTTGATGATTCTGGATATCTAGGGAGAAAAAAATGGTGTCTATTCTTATTGCATATGCGAAAAGTACACCTGTTGAGTCCATCAGTAAGTTGGACAGGAGGGATATAGGATTTTTTTTAACGGCAGTAATAAAGCTCCAGTTGTTCACTGAATGAATCATGATGAACTAACCCAGATGGTTCTGAATCAAAGTGATCACAATTACTGATGTTGAAGACCACAGAAAACAAGTGCTTAGAGATGATGTGACAAAAAGTGTGAAAGGCTTATTGAAGGACTAGATCAGCATGGATTCACAACAGAACAAGATATCATGTCAGTTCATAAGATCAAAGAGGGATTTGCATTATGTTTTATATCTAGATATCTCCCAAAGCCTCATGCACCCAAATATATAGCTTTTAGAAGGATTATAGGTCATGATAGTCATCAGTGAGTCATCCACTGATGAGTTTATAGTTGACTTGTTATGAGGAGGTGGGACCTGGGCCAAAGGGGTGGGCTTCTCTCACCTCTGCTGCTCCCTTTATGTTCTCTCTTTGCTTCCCTGTTGCCATGCGATGCGCAACTGCGTCGCTATGTCCCTCAGCCAAGCCACCCTGCCTTGGAGCCTGCTTACCATAGACGACACCTCCATAGCTGTGAGGCAAAGTACGTCTCTCCTTCCTTTAAATTGTGAGTGTTGAGTATTGTGTCCGAGCAACAAGGAAATAAGGCAGTCTAAGACAAAACCCTTAATCAATGAAGTAGATGATTGGGGAAAACATTTTAAAAAGCTACTCAGTAGAATGCCTCTTTGTCCATAGAAGATCTCATTCCTGCTCCCCAATGTTTCTTCTCATGTAACAAAATTCAATGTACATTAACCTTTCAATCAAAGCCCATTGTGCATCTAGAGGTAGAAGCTGCAACTCTGGCATTGCAGTTGCTTTGCAGCTGATGTAGATATCCTGGGGATGCCTTGAACACATGATCCACACCCCTGTATTAATGATATGCCATTTTTAAGAACTAGTGAGTCCTTGTATGTAAATGAACATAAGGAAACTATAGCTTACTGGCAGCATATAAATTCAAAGTCATACATGATAGAGATACCAAATAGCCACAGACCATCTGCATGTGTGTCTGAGATTATGACTCTGTTGTTTTCTGACGAGTCAATGTATGCAAACTTCATTTCACTTGCAAAATAATTTAAATGATTGTAAAATTTTATCTTTCAGTTTTGCACTGGATTAGTATATAGGAAACATAAATGAATTTCATGTTTCAGTTTTGCACTGGATTAGTATATAGGAAACATAAATGAATTTCATGTTTAAACTTGGGTTGTGTCTCTAGGTTACCTCAGTATACTTATGCAAATTTTCCACAGTTCAAACATAAATCCACAAATCCATTGTGGCCTCAAGCATTTGAGAAGATGATTGTTCAACTTGTATTATTAGAAATTCATGCCAGAGATACACTTTTCAATCACAGACAGAGGCTGGGCTTGAGTTTGACAAAACTCAAGGAAAGCGTTCTGTGATAATCAATAGACTATATGAATTTTATAGCAATTATTTTCTTATTCTGAAGCAATATAGTTTTTGCTAATGACAAAAACTATATTTCTCTGAATAAAGATATTGAAGAAGACATTAGAAAATTGAAGGATACCCTCTGTTCTTGTATAGGCAGAACTAGCATCATCAACATGACCAGATTACTGGAAGATGATATTTGGATTTTTAACACAATATCAATCAAAATATCATCAACATTTTTTCACAGAACAACAGCAACAACAAAATTGTAACATTTGTATGGAGACTGAAGAGGCCCAGATGGCCAAAGCAATCCTGGAAAACATGACTAAAGCAGGCAGCATCACAATCCCAGATTTTAAATTATACTAAAACTATTGCTACAGTAGGAAAAACAACATGGTACTGACATAAAATAGATACATTGACCAATGGGAGAGAACAGACGATGCAGAATTGTTCCCCAGCACTTGCAGCAGGTGATTTTTGACAAAATGGCCACTTTTATATACTGGAGAGGAGATAGCCTCTTTAATACATGTCTTACCCTGTACTAAAAAGAAATGAAAATATAGACCTATATTAAAATAAACATTGGATGTACTGGGAGAAAAGATGGTAATACCCTTGAAGACACAAGCATAGAGAAAGATTTCCTGAACAGAACCCCATTTGCACACAAAGTAGTATCACGAATCAACAACTATATAACCATCTCACAGACAAAGAACTCCTCTCTAGAGCATATAAAGAATTAAAAAAATCAACCCCCCGCATTTTCAAACACCTGATCCAAAAATGGACATTTGAGATGAATATGCACGTCTCAGATGAAGAAATACAAATGGCAAATAAATATATGAAAAAATGTTCCACATCATTGATCATTAGAGGAATGCAAATAACACAACACTGAGATTCCATCTTACTTCAGAAAGAGTGACCATTATTAAGAAATCAATCAACAATAAATGTTGGCAGGGCTGTGGGGATAAAGGAACCTTTTCACCACTGTTAGTGGACGTTTAGACTGGCCCAACCACTGTGGATATTAGTATGGAGATTCCTTAAAAAACCTAGGATTAGATGTCCCATTTGACCTAGCTACTCCCTTTCTAAGTATTCTCCCAGAAGAATGAAAAATATCATACCCCAGTGATATATATGCACCTATGCTTATAGTAGCACAATTTGTAATAGCTAAATCTTGGAAACAACCCAAATGCCCATCAACAGAAGAGCAGATATAAAAGATGTATTTTTATACCATGGAATACTACTCAGCTATAAATAGGGATAAACTTGAGGTTTTTATAGGTAAATGGATGCAACTGGAGACCACACTTATAAGTGAAATAAACTGGACTCATATGTGTAAACATTGTATTGTCTCACTAGTGTAAGAAACTTAAAGGGTAAATAAGTGTCAAAATGTACAATAGATATTGTGAAGGGGGAAAAATTGCTTAGAAGAAAATAACAACAGGGATAAGGGAAAGGAGAAAAGTAGGAAAGGAAAAGAAAAAATATATTTACATATATATTTATACATACCTATATGATACCTGAGACAATTATACTACTTTCTCTCCTCCCCTCTCCTCTCCTCTGCTCTCTTCTCCCTTCTCCTTCCTTCCCTTCCTCTTCCTCCCCCATTCTTTTCCTTCCTTTTCTCTTCCCTTCCCTTCCCTTCCCTTCCCTTCCCTTCCCTTCTCTTCCCTTCCCTAACCCTCTCCTCCCCTCCCCTCCCTTCCCCTCTCTCTGTCTCTTTGAAACAGGGCCTTGCTATACAGCTCAGGCTGGCCTTGAACTCATTTTGTGACTCAGGCTGGCTTTGAACTCCCAGTGTCTGACTTGTCTCAACTTCCCCAGTGCTGGGATTACAGGGTGTGTCACCACACTTGCCTTTATACTGCTAATTTATATTGGTTCATTGAAAAAACGGGTTTTGTATATATTGTTTGATCTATTTTTCATGCCTATATCTTGTAATTTGAGCAATTACTTTGAAGATAACAATATGCAATATATTAATCATTGTTAATCCTCCTTTAGCTTATTTTAAAATTCTCTTTAAAATAAAGAGAATAAAGTTTTTTCTCTTTAAAACAAAAAAAAAAAACTTACACAAAGATAAAGCTTAACACTTTTAAAGGATTACCACAGTTTCTTTTAGGTATGGGTAAGAGAAATGATTTAAGCAATGTTAATTATTCTTTATATAGTAAGTTAAAATTACTGTTTATAATAAACTATCTTTGGGTTTCAAGATATTAAAGTAGGCAAGAGGAAATGGAAAATATTAAAGGGTTATCTGTTTAATATTAAAGACTAGATAAATAAAATAGCTACCTGTAAGAAAAATGAAAGCTTTTTCACAGCAAAGGAAGCAACCAAGACTGAAGATACAAGCTACAGAATGGGTAATTGTTTTCATAAACTACTCAGAAGATTAATAACTAAAATATCAAAAGAATTAAAAAAGTGCTAAAATTAAAAAAAAAACCCTATAAAGAAATGAGCAATTGAAATGAATATTTTTACTTCTCAAAAGTAAAAATAGCTGGGCGGGGGATTTAGCTCAGTATTGTAAGTGCCTGTTTTGTAATCCCCCAGTACCAAAAAAAAAAAAAAAAAAAAGGAAAAATAGCCAATAAATACATGAAAAATTGTTCAGCATCTTTACTTATTAGAGAGATGCAAATCAAAACAACACTGAGGTTCCACCTTAGTGCAATAAAAATGTTCATTATCACAGACTTGAAAAATAGTAAATGCTGCTGAGTTTGTGGTAGGAATGAAACTAGTACAACCAATTTGGAAATCAGTATCGAGATTTCTCAGAAAACTAAAAATAGAAATTCCATTTGAGCTAGTGCTAACTCTCCTGGGTATCTTTACAAAAGAGTTACCATCATCATATTACAGTGATACAGGCAAGTCTATGTTTATAACACAATTCAAGATAGCTGAATCATGGAAGGGATCCATGTGTCCATCACCTCATGACAAGATTAAAATGGGGTATAATTAAAGAAGGATAATTCTGAGTCATTTCTATGGAGATAGTCTTGGCAGAGATGACTCAGGATTATCCTTCTTTAATTTTACCCCATTTTAATCTTTTCATGAGGTGATGGGCACACAGGTCACTTCCACGAGATGGGAAGGGAGGGTGGAGGGAGGGAGAAACCAACAAGATGCCATATGTATTCTGAAAGTATTCTGAGACAACAGTTTTGAATTTATGATTCTGGGTCTCGGTTTACTTCCCTGATGCCTCCCATACCGTTCTCAACTAGTCTTGAAAGAAATGCTCGCATCTAAAAATGTCACAGTTATAAGCTCAACTGTGTCCTCTTGCAAGTTCATAACCTCTGAGGTAATGCTTCAGAGACAAGGCTGTTGAGAAGACAGTTAAAATTAAATGAGCACTGAGGTGGATCTCTGTTCCAATCACAGTGTGCCTCCTATAAGAAGAGGAAAGATGCCTGTTTATCCTGTATACAGAGGCGGAAGGGATGCGAAGACGTGGCAAGAATGTGGCCCTCTATGAACCCGGAAGACAGGCCTTAGAAGGAGCCAGTCCTGCCAGTACACTCATCTCGGACTTCTACCCTCCAGAATTGGACAACGTACATTTCAGTTGTTTAGGTCTCAAAGTCTGTCATAATATGTTATGGTGGCTTGAAAATACTAACATAGTCATCATTTGGAAAGAATGAATATGAGGAGTATACAGAGATATTTAAAGAGAAGCAAAGAACAGAAGCTTGTTTTTGTTTATTTTCTGTTGCTATAACAAAATACCCAAAGTTGGCTGCTTTATAAAGAAGAGAGGTTTATATAGCTCACAGTTGGAGGCCAAAAGTTCTAGATTAGACAGCTCGTGTCTGTTTGGCCTCTGTTGTTGCTTTGGCTACATCACAACATAGTAGAGAAGAGGAAAAGGAAATGGTAGTACATAGAAGGAGCCAAATACATGGGACAGCTTTTTTTTCTTCCTTCTAATTTCCCAACCTTAGAGACTTTTCTTTGGGAACAAGAATATACTCTCATGAGAAAAGTGTTAATTCTGTCACATGGTGGTGGCCCTGTTACCTAAATGTCTCCTATTAGGACTCCTTCTAATGATTACACCTCCTCCTAACATCATCGTACTGAGAGCCAAGCTTCTAGTATATGAAGCATTGGAATTCATGCTCAAACCATATCCAAACCACTGCAGAGCTCTTCCAATCATAATTATATAACTACATAATTACATAACTATGTAAAATAAATGAGTAAGTCACATCAGACTAAAGGTCATCACAGGAAGTAGAAAAATGATTTAAAAATACAACCCTCCATACTATCCCAAGATATTATAATATTGAAGACGATATAACTTTTTTTGAAGTGAGAAGTCATAGGAGAAAAGATGGATAGGAGAAGAGAAAGTTGTGAGAGAAGGAATCTTTTATTAGAAAATTCTAGAAGTTTTGGACCAAGTCAAGCTGTTTATGTGTAAAGGACACAGATAATCTCAGACATGGCAGGATGTGGTAAATAGAATATCCCTGTGTTTTCCTTGAGAAATGTACACGATGAAAACTAATACTATTTAACAAATATTTAACAAATAGAAATCACAGAAGACTTCCTATTTTTAATGTATTTGGAAAAATTTTAAGTGATATGTATATGGACACAAAGAAAACTATGATGCATTCTATAGACTAAAACATAAAGGATTAGATCAGAACATACTAAAACTAGAAATTTAGTATAAAAATGAAATACAATCTCAATCACCTAGAATTTACAAAAATAACAATAACTCAATCACTTTTTAGATGGAAGAGATAAGAAAAATGAAATTGCAGAGTGTATAGAAAAGAATACTATTATAAAAACATTATATACAGAAACCCACATGTATCTAAAGCCATGCTTAGAAGTATATTCATGTCCTTGACTACCAAATTAAATAAAGTTTTAACATAATTTTAACTGGCAAAATTACCAGAAAGCAGAAGTAAGAAGTTAAAAAGATAATAGCAAACACTAGTGGATGAGAAAACAGTAGAATAAGAACTCCTGTGACAAGACAAATCACCAGGTAATCTAACTTTGAAAAGGTTGCATAACTGTACAGCATTAGGAATCAAGAGAAAAGATAACCAGATACAGAGAGGATTATAAGAAATGCTCAGGATTTTCTTTTCACAAACATAGTTGAAAGCCTGGATAGACAAGTAATTTTTCAAAAAGGTGCATATGACCAAAACTGACCTCAGCTGTTAGGGAAGATTCCAACAAGGCAAATACACAATAGAAAATGGGGAAAAATTTGAGAAATTACAGCCCCTTAACAGACAAAGGTCTTAATACTCATGATATTTTAAATGTGAATCTTTCAGACATTTAGAATATATATCAAAGCACTATGTATGCTGTCCCAGAACTGACTTTAAACATTTTTTTTTTGGTGGGGTAGGATCTCACTATGTAAACATGTCAGCCTAGGCTTGAATTCAATGACTTTCCAGCCTCAGCCTCCCACAATACGGAGATTATAGGCATGTTCCTCCATGCCCACGTCCAGGATTAAATTAAGAAAGGCTTTCAAATGAGTTTTACAAAACTATCATGACACTGAAACCAAATTCTAAAAAACAAACAAAAAATCTATACTTACTTTACCAAGTGGGAACAAACCCAAAGTTAAAAGACTGGTTTTATAAATTTACACAATAGAGCATATGCATCTACAGAGGGATGCTATCTTTATATGCGTGTGGAAAGATATTATTTAAAAAACAGGGTTCAGAGCAACTGTAATATGCATCTATTTGAATGAGAATACATAGATTTATGAATGGATCATTTGATGAATAAACTATTGTGGGTGGTAATGAATATTAAAGCTAAGCTAAAAGTTGTTTTAATGTATCTTGACTTTTGTACTTTCAAAAATTTTATGAGCATATATCTGTATTATTTTCATTTAATCATTTATCAGATTCTTTATACAAAATAGAATTTGTACAGTCAGTAGATTAGCTGCTACTCTTGCATTATATAACTGGTCTAGAATTAAGGGCATGACATTTATTTTACGCATGTATTTTCATAAGATAGCATATCGAGTAAGATTGTGTTTTCTTTCTTTCTTTATAAAATAGAATTGTCAAGTTGGTTAACTCCTGAATATTCTATGAGAAACAAACTTACTACAAGGTTATAGAATTTGAAGTATACTGATCTGATATACCTCATTAGAAATACATAATTACTTTGCAGAAATACTTGTTATTGCATTTTCCATCATAAATTTCCATTTTTCCTTCTAGCCATTTGAAGAGACTAGCTAGTACACAGTACTTTAGAACAAACTAGCATCAAAAGGTTCCAGTGTCCTCTTCCAACCTGTTACAATTCTTGACCTTCATTTAGCATTCAAATAATGAGAAATTTCTGAAAATCTCACTTATCTGGTAATGGGACAGCTTATGTTAACGCTGTACATTTGACTGTTTGTCTGATGAATACTTTGCCTGATGAGATTTGTCTGGAAAACTTTTCACACAGGTTTACGCTCTTGCAGAATGCCACATGCGAATAATGAATCTCTTCAGAGAGATGATTTTTCTTTTTGTGAGGAAAGAGTATTTTGAACTGTGGCATGAACATTCCAGCGCCTGCAATGGGGCAAGTGTTATACTATGAAGTGGTGTACAAGAAATAGGGAAAAGACAATCCAGAAATGAGAAGAAGGTTATTAAAAGTTCTGAGATTGGGACACAGTTATATTTGCAGTGTAAGATTTTGGAGACTCATTGCTAAGGTGCACCCAGGCTTGATAACTACTCTGTCGAATTTTTAAAGGAATATTTAAATATGTGATGCTTGGAGGGTCAGCACTGTCTTACCTTTCTATATTTGTCGAGGTGACAGCAACTTGGAACTCACATACATACTGTTTTTGAGGGTGGGGGCCACTGGTGCATTCATAAATGTGGTTAGCAAAGTAGAGGAATCCTCTTAGTTTTGGTCTGGGGGTGCTTCCTTGGTCCAGAACTTTTTTTTAGCATTCTTGAACCCTGGCTAATGAAGTGCTAATGGGGTGTTATTACTGGCTACTAGACCAAGGCATCAGAGAGACAGGCTGGTAAACACCCTTTGAAGTATGTGCCTAATCCTTTGAAGTGCGCTTCTAGTGGGAAGATAAGCACATTTCCTGTAGTAGACATCCTTAGTTTTGTGTCCTGACCCTATGTTATAGATTCTAGGTCAACACATTTGCTGGTCTTCAGGTAGTACTTAGGGAAAGAAAGTTCGTTATGGAGATGGTTTAGGGCTTGGCCTTCTCGTGTTTGACTTGGCCAACTTGCCTCAAATAGGAAACCTCTAAATAATTAACTGTAAACTTGCTTAGGTGATTTTTTATATTCTACCCTCGCAAAACACAAATAGAAATATAGGTCAAACCCAGGGAATATAACCTGAGATGCCACTCTAAACTTCTCATTTTTAATTTCTCTTCACTCTCCCTTCGCCAGCACTATGATTAAGGTAAAAAGCTGAATCTTATTGTGTTTTTTAAAAATTTCCCCAGTTTTTAAAATACTGGTTTTTTACTGAAGGAATACTGAATCTTTTTGATGAATGGATATGAGTGGATTGGTTATTACATGCATAAAAACCCAGAAGAAGTTGATCTACTAAGTTTTTAAGAGTAGCAATCTATGCCTTTAGATCAAACTTCAGCAAGAAAAATTAAAGGTAACATATGGATGCTTATGTTTTACTTTTTTTTTTTGTCTTTTTCCTTTTTATCGGTACCAGGGATCGAACTCAGGACTGCCTGCTTGCAAGGCAGGCTCATATTTTACTTTTTACAAAAACAGACTTTATTTTTAAAAACAGATTTAGATCACTAGCAAAACTGAACGTTAGGTATAGAGATTTCCCACATCCCCCTTCCCTCATACACACAGATTCACTATCTCTGTACCACAATACTACGTTTGCTACAGTTGATGAGCTCACAGAAACATTTGTATTACCATCTACATTTAGGTTTATTCCCAGGGTTGTGCAGTCCATAGGGTCTTGGTATATTTTTGTAGTACATAATATCCCCATTCCTTTTTGGGAACTGGTACACATACAGGTTTATTCCCTTATAATACCCCCCTCCCCATTCATCTCTTGGTTTTCTTTGCAATATGTAATATTTACATTCCTTGTGTGGAACTGGTACTTTGTGCAGTGACATGTACCTACCATTATAGTATACAGCCGATAATGGAATGGTAATCGAGATTGCCATTTTAAGGCAGTAAAACTAATTATTTTATACATTTCCTAGCGTCAGTTAGTTTTGTTAAAATGGCTTGTTTCATTTAGTAATGTGAGGTTAAATTTCCTTCATGTCTTTTTTATGGTACCAGGGATCACACTTCTGACCTTGCACTTGCCAGGCAGGTGAATTATACTCTTTGGTGGATTCATTCATTGATGAGTTCAGGAGCTGAATGTGCTGTTACGAATTGGAGTCTGCTTGGATGTGTCACTTGGCCGTGACCTGGGAGAGTGTAGTCCTGTTTCCTGGCTATCAGGGGATGAGCAGACGTCCCCTCTCATGCCTTCCAACATGCTGCTTCTGCCTTGAAGTCTGCCCACTTTAGAACCCACTGGAAACTGTGAGGCAAACAAATCTGGCCCCCTTTAAGTTGGGGGTATCAGGTATTTTGTTTCTGTAACAGACAAGTGACAATTCTCTTTCCTTTATCAGAAGTGTAGTTTGCAAATGTTTTTTTCTAGTTTATGGCTTGTCATATCACACTCTTGACAATGTCTTTTCAGAGCTGACATTTTACATTTTAAATGAAGTCTATAATTCTTTTATAGACTGAATCTTTGTTGTTATGTTCAAAATAAGACTGTCCAATCTGAGGTAACAAGATTTTCACCTATGTTGTGTTTTATAGTTTTTCATTTTTGAGTTTTGAGATCCATATCATCCAATTTGAGGTTAGTTTTATTTTATTGTGAAAGTGTCTAAATTTTTTTTTTTGCATGATTTTCCATTTCAGGACAGTTGTCAAAAGATCATCTCTTCTCCATTGTATTATTGCCTTTACCCCTTGGTCCAGGCACTTGACTATGTTCAAGTGTCTATTTTTGAGCTTTCTATTCCATTGATATGTTTATTCTTTCAGTAATATCACATTCTCTGGATTCCTTTAGCTTTACAATAAGTCTTAAAGTCAGATAGTGTGAATTCTGTGACATTGTTCTTTTTCTTTCAGTGTTAAATTCATTTTTCTATTTCCCTCTCCATAAAAAACTCTAGAATTATTTTGTCAATATCTGCAAACTAAGTTCCTGAGATTTTTTTTAAGTTCCTGAGGTTTTGATTGGAATCTTATTACATCCATAGGTTGTTTGGGAAGAAATGCCATTTTAACAATATTGAGTCTTCCTATTCACGATCACAGAACAACTCTCTATTTACTTAATTCTTTTATTTCTTCCCTTAGAATTTTATAGTTTTTCTTCACATAAATATACATATTTTGTTGGATTTACACTCAAATAGTTATTTTTCTAGGTGCTATTGTAAACGGTATTGTGTTGTCAAATTTAAAATTCCATTTATTCATTTGCTATACACAGGGACATGTTCGGCTTTTGTATATTAATTTTGAATATTAATCACTTAGTAGTTTCAGGAATTTTTCTTTCAGATTTTCTACAGAGATGGTTATATCATCTGGAAATATGATAAAAGAAAGAATAAGTAAAGGGAAGAGTCATTTTTTATTTTCATTTTATTGCTTTAATCTTTTTTTCTTTTGATTGAGAGAGGATCTTGCTATGCAGTTCAGACTGGCCTGGAGCTTACCTTGTAGCCCAGGCTGGTCTCGAACTCGCAACAATCCTCTTGCTTCAGTCTCCCAAGTGCTGAGATTACATGTATACACCAGCATACCAACAATGATTAAGCTTTAGTGAGTATATAGATAACTCTAGCTCCAAGAGCTGTGTTCTTTACTCTCCAAAAATATTTCTTGGGATGTAACAAAATTTAAGTCCTCACCATAGTAATTTTATTAAGTTAGTTACTTTATAAAACATTGCAGACATCATAATTCTGAACATAGCAATTTACCAAGCAGTAGTTAACTGGTGAGGTTTGCTGGGCATGTTTTAGAAAGGAAAGGAAATGCCAAAACCTCCTTAAAGTTGTTCCATTGCAGCCTAGAAAAACAGAGAGTTGTTTCTTAGACACTTGAATCAGATAGTTTCCCTCTTCTGTTCTGAAGCACAGCTCTGGTAGAAATAGTCTAATAAGTTAGTACGAGGTAGTATATGCACTCAACATATTCCACAACTTGTACTTAGTAAAGGAGAGGTCTACCTTTCTTCAGCTTCAAAGTTGGAGGGTTTTGGTCATTTAATTTTTAAATATCTTCTCTTGAGATAAGCAGTCTTTTTGACAATGGATTTTTCATATTCTCATGCTTAATATTAAGACAAAGCAATTTTAATACTAGCTGTAGCCCACATGCCCTTGCTGCAATCTATTTTTCTTGGCAAGACAGGCAGTAGTTCAAGGAGGTGTGGTTAAGGCCGTGTTACCGAATGGTGGTAGCAAGTACTACATAGTCTTTTTGTCATGTTGCAGCCTTCATTTCCAACTTATCGACAACTGCTATGGAATCAATGACAACATTATTAGTCCTGTTTTTCATTATTAGATCCGATTTAGTAGCAGTTCAGGTTCCTGATTTTAACCCCTAGACAGCAAGATCCAAGTTCCCTTGTTTGCACATTAGCACCTAAGTGCTAAGGGGTTAAATAACCAGCACCAAAGATACTGAGCTTCTGACTGTAGCATTTGGCAGGATTGAAAGGAAAGGAAGTTGTGCTACATGTTGAAGGAATTGTGAGCAATAGAAAAAAGACCAAGAGAAGATAAAATGTTGCCAGACCGTCTTTCACAGTGGCCTATGTCCTCCTCTAGGAGCCACACCTTTCTCTGTCTTTTGGCTTTGCTTAGCTTTCTTCTGTTTTTCACAGGTCTCACACAGTGTCTGGGTCCCACGAGTGGGTGTCCACTGCCCTGCTGCCATCGCTGGCATCTCCAGGTGGATGTGAGTGTGTGTGAGGGAAAAGCCAAGCAGATGTGAGTCACTGAGCTGGCTCTAAGTGGCTGGCTGTCTTTTCTTCTTGTAAGGAGAAGTGGCGGGGAAGCCGTGCTGGGGAGAACCAGCCAGGGAGCTGGTCACCCTGTGTGCTGGTAGAGAGTCTGCCACCCGGGAGAAGCAGAGGGAAACCATCTCTGCCACTGCCTCATCCCTCCCCTAAGCAACCAGACAGGCCACAGGCTGAGGTGACAGTAAATGAAGCAAGGTAGCAACCTGACATTTAAGTTGTTTGATTGACTTTGCAAACCTGGAGCCAGTAGCTTGAGCAACTAATTAGAGGATAAAATGATGAAGTACAGTAATGACTGTGGATTTCCTGCTGCCCTATCATTGCCTTGTTTTGTTTTACTTTACTGTTTTACTTTCTTTTAAAAAAGGACATTTGTCGGAGTTTATCTTCACTTAAGCTCTATTGTGGAGATAGGTTTGTTTATGTTATTCCTTTTTTGGCTTTGAATGTCCATAGATCTATAGTGGTATAACCAGAAACTCATCGATTTTATCAGTCTGTTCAAAGAATCAGTTTTTGATTGTGTTGCTTTCTCTCTTGATTTCCTGTTTTAAATTTCATTGATTTCTACTCTAATTTTATTGTTTCTTTTCTTCTGTTACTTTGAATTAAGAGTCTCTTCTTTTTTTAATTTCCTAAAGTAGAAACTTAGGATCCTGGTTTTAGAGCTTTGTTCTTTTCAAATTAGGCACTCAGTGCTATAATTTTTCCTCTAATTACTGCTCTTGTTGCATTGTACAAATTTTGATAAAGTTATGCTTTTATTTTCATTTAGTACAAAATACCTCAAAATTTCTCTTGAGATATATTATTTTATCTGTATGTTATGTAGAAATATGTTGTATAATCTCTATGTATTTGGAACCTCCAGCTACCTTTCTATGAAATGGTTATGTTTAATCTAAGACAAAATCAATCTATATCCTTTTAAGTGTTTCTGAAATACACCTTTGTGTGGGGAGTAGAATGTTATGATAAATTTTTCCAGTTAACTTCTGTATGAATTCATCAGAATGAGCTGTGGTCACCTCCCAGTTAATAAATTTCAATCATTTTAGCATTATCTGCCATAAACAGACTGATCTTTGTTATGTTCAATAAACATTAGTGGATTTCTGCATTTGAAGTAATTCCAATTTTCACCAAGTTCAAATCCTCTTCATTTTTTACCTGAATTATTAGACTAATCTCTTAATTCATTTCCTGTTTCTAACTTTGGTTTTCCCATTGCATATACAGTAAAACCTTGATGATGAGTAACTTGTTCTGAGAGTGTTGTGCAAGATGAGCAAATATTTCTAGTGAATTCTAACAATAAAGCAGCAAGAGGCTATGGAGGAGATCTCATTTGGAGAGGAGGAGGAGAAATAGGCAGAGGAATCCCTTCCTTCAAATGAGTTTAGGGAGATGTGTAAAATGTGGGAAAAGTACACAATTCTGTAGAAAATCATTACCTTAACAAGCTTGCAGAAGTGTGAACAATCAGTCTGTTTAATGACAAGGTGGTGTCACATTTCTGTGAAATCTTTGAAAGGAGGCAAAAAGCAAGTGTCGTTGGGGAGATTCTTCCTTCAAATTGCATGAAAAAAAAAAAGGTTCTATTAAGCCAATAGACTGCAGTGATTCCAACAGTGATAATAAAAGGCATCCTACACTATAACCCACCCCTCTCATCTCCTCACACCAGCCACAAAGGTTTTCAAAGGTAAGTACGTTAATTTATCTTTCTTTGCCTTTTTATTTTCTTTAATATTTTGTATTGTAGTACTGTAATCATTTCATATGAATGTTTTTGGGCTATAGGACAAATCATATGAGCATACATTCTTTCTTATGGGGAAATTGTCTTTAATATACAGGGGCTTTGGATTACAAGCTTGTTTCCTGAATGAGTCATACTCATAAACCAAGGTTTTACTATATTTGTAATCAATGTAATATCAATCATAACATTTCCATAACAGTAGTGATATACGTATATACCAATATGTGTGATGTATTCATTTTATTTCAAATGTCTCAGTAGATTAAAATTGTCCCATTGCCTAGAGCAGTGGTGACGAACCTGCGGCATGCCTGCCCCATCAGGCTGTTGTATTATGGAAGCACTGAAAGGTTCTCTGCCCCTGGCCAAGAAGGTAAAGTACAGAACAAATTTCAGAACAAATTTAATTTTAATCTGAATCGTTCGACTCTGACTGTGACCTTCATTCCCAGAAGTTTGCTCACTGCCCAGTAGGCCACCGGCAGGCATACTTCTGAGTGTTCCTCAACGGTGACCTTCTTGGGAGCCCTTCCAGGAATCCTTCTTTCTTTCTTTGTCCATCTAAATCCCCTCTGTCCTTTGTCCACAGCTCCTTACCTTCAGTTTTCTGAGTGCTTCTCACATTTTGTTTCAGATGGCTATCCAAATGTCAGCTTTCCTACTGTATTTTCTTCATCTTTATTTCCTTTAGCTCACAACCTTGTGTAAAGTAGGTGCTCAGTAAATGTTTGTGAACTGGAGATCAAGTATGGAAAGCTCTGTGTGAATGTGGCCAAACCATTGCACTGACTTCATTCAATCCGAGCCAGATGGTCAATTAGAGATTTGTTGGAGGGAGAATGACAGGGATTAATCCAGATTTTTCCAAGTAGAGTAGAAATGAACTAGAGAAAGTTCTAATCTTATGCAGGTCCCCACAAACACATAATTGATATTTTTCAATGGATATGGTTTATATCTTGGTTCATAGGAATATTCATTTTATTTTTCAAGGATTTCCCTGAAGGTTATAACACTTAACTATGATTAGACAGATCCTTATCCTGAAAAAAAAATGTCAATTTGTATTTTAGTTGTTTGGAATTGTGATCCTTCTTTATTTCAATAATTTTTGTGCTTTTTCATTTAGTGGAATCTCCAAATATCAGTCAAGTCCTTCTCTGACAATTCTTCCTTCCCCACCCCCATTTCCCTCCCTTTTGTTTGTCTGGTGTTTAAGGTAATAGCACGTGCTCCCACTGGGGAGACAGGCTCCCGCCAGCTCCAACTGAGTTCCTCGCAGCAGGCATGGGTCAGTTTTGTGAAGTCGTCTCCCTTGGCCCCAGTGAAGAGACTTGTGTAATAGGAGGCTCAGTGAGTGTTGTGCAAATACATCATTTAATAATGATGATGAAGCTCATAAAGGGAGTGCAGATGGACATACAGTGACCCCGAATCAGTTCAGAGATATTATTTGAAAACCTGAGTAGGTGATATTGTTTACACATCACATTATCTGATCACTCAGTTTTCTGTGGCAACTAGTGCAGGATGGAGAAGAAATTCTGTGCAGTTCAGTAATTTGGGAGAAGCCCCCACTGGGATGGGAGAAAAGGACGAGATTTGAAGGCCACTCCTGGAAGGGATCCGAGTAGCCAGCTGTTCGTAGAACTCACCACAATGTTTGGTGAAGAGTGTAATTTCTGGTAAGAACAGAGAAAAGCTTTTTTTTTTTTTTTTTTTTTAAGGTCAAGCACTTTAAAAGGAACTGTAAGCAGTTTTAATAATAGGGTTTTCTCTTTTTTGAACGAAGAGACACTTCAATTTTAAATTTGGTGGGTCACGTGATTGTGTCATGTGACACAACTAGAGTGGAACGTGTGAGCGTGTGGCTGTGTTTTCACTGAGGAAAGTATGACTTATATTTGTAACATTGCAGTTTTGAGAAAGAGAGACTAATTTCTGTTGTGGGCGTTCTGCCTCTGCAAGAATACTTAGAACTTTGCTGCATTTAGGAAGGAAAATAAAAATGTCCGCATCATGTTTGTCACTGTTATACAAATAGAAGTCTGATCCTATGGGCTGTGCTTCTTAATATGGTCAAGATATTTTAAAAAAACCCAAATTGTTTGTTACTGTACTTAGTTGTATGCATTGAAAGATTAGCTTGTTAGCTCAGGAATTTATGCATTGTGGAAGTGAAAATACAAAGAGGTGTTGACTAAATTGTAAGATCCTTAATTTCTAGCTCCCTGCCTTATATCACTAAAGTGTTTATTAGGCCATTACAAAAGATCTACTGGATGCATGAATTTAAGATGTTTGAAATGTAAGTATGCATTAATCATTTTAAAATGTCATCAGGTATCAGTGAGTATTAATAATGGCAACTGACATTATTATTTAAAAAGGTTAATACAAATATTATTAATGATAGAATTTTTGGTGTGGCTAAAAGATAAGAAATATGAAATAAAAGTGGCCTTTGTTTTAAGAATGTGGAGAGAGACTCCATGACCTCCAGGGTCTGGCTTTCTCTCTACAGGATACGTGGTGTGGGGGCATACATATATCTTAGGTCTGGGGTGGTGCCTAAGGGGCATTACTGATGCACTGGTAGCCCATTGGAATTCATTTCGCTCCTCAGGTAAATTGCCTAGGGGCGGGGAAGGTGACCTCAAGATGGAGCCCCTTGGTTTCCCCTCCCAGCCTCCCACCGCTGCAGCTTCCCATTTAGGGCAAAATGCTTTCAATTAATATTAGTACAGATATTAGAGGTGTAAAAGGTATAAAAGATATTAAAGGTTGATTTGACTGACATCTTAAAAAGTTGCCATTATTATATGATTTTGTTAAACTATATTCTATTTCATGCTGTATAACAAAATCCAGGGCTTACTCACTGAGCTACATTCCCAGCCCTTTATAAGACAGGGTCTCATCAAGTTGTTTAGACTGTACTGAAACTTGTGACCTTCCTGCTTCAGCCTCCAGAGTGCTGGGATTATAAGTGTGTGCCACTATTCCTGGCCAGGATATGTCTTTTAATATAACAGTCAAGCCAATAACCAGATTAATTGGCCATAAATGAATCAGCACTCAAATCATGAGGATGTTGAGATTATTAGGTCTAAGAAATATATAAATAGACTTCTGGTCAGTGTCATTAGTTGCTGTCTTTATTTAACTAGTTGAAAGACATAGCTAATTAAAATTTTATTTTACTGATAAGAGTTCTTTTCCAATGTGATTTTTCCACTTTCCCCATCAGAACTTTTGCACAAAGCCTTTTCTTTTGTAGCTAGTCTTACATGCTTGGCATTACTCTACTAGACAAGATGGTATACGTTATGCACATAAAGTATAAGATTTTGTTTACATCTTTTTTCCAGATGCAGGACACTGTGTTTTCTCTAAAGAACTCTGTTCACAAATCTGAATACTCTGTGGGTAACAATAAATTACTGAGGCCTCATATTGGATGGTGAAAAGGAGCATGGATGTCCATTTTCTTAATAGAAATTTTAGAGAATTGGACTAGTTTTTCCTTTATTCATGGCATTCGTGTTTCATGAAGTCCTGCCTGATTTCAATCTGGCGTTTTCTCTTTAGTAGAACAATCTGCTGCCTCAAGAGATCTGGATTCTGATTGCCAAGATTCCGGTTCTCATCCTACCTCAGATTAGCAACTCCATTATTCAGCCTCAGTTTTCTCATTTATAGAATAATGGAAAAACTGGTAGAGTTGATGAGCATACAAGGCCACTAGTTACGTGAAGGGATGCATAGAAGGCATTCTAAGCTTATTGATTAGCCTGGTAGCAGTTTCTATTTATTTTCCTTTTTTCAATGGTCCTTAAGTGTTTTTCTTTTCTTTTCTTTTTTGTTTCTCAAATCAACTCTCTCACTCAGTCTAATTTATTTATCATATATGGATCTACAGCATAGCTTAAAAAGCAATGAGACTGGTTTCCATGTGTAGTTTTTGGAGCAGATCTCATTATAGTTAGAGTTTCTCCAGTAATTATAGAAAATACTTATTTAAACAGCAAGACATTTTACAAGTGACGCAAATGTAGATTGCTCACTCCCAGGGATTCACGTATTTTGTATGTATTCCTGGAAAGTCACTGTTCCCGCTTTGATTGTCTCTTCCTCTATCTACTCCTTTGCTCCTATTTATTTTTCCGGCTTTGGATTCTAGCTATCATTTTTTTCTCCTTGCCATATACTAGAGTTGATTTTCTTCTAACATTGCTTCGTAATGGAGCTCAGCTCACTGTCCTTTATCCTGTGTCCTGTGTGCTGGTGACAAGGGA